ATTTATCAAGTACAATTAAGCTTTTTGAAAAAAAAACAAATTACAGCAGACTTCTGAGCTCCTTGGAGTTTTCTTGAGAAGCAGTCTTTGAGTCTTCCATGTGGCTGTGGCCATCCCTCTGGTTCTTCTCAGCAGACAGGCCAATTTAAACACTTTCAGATGAAAGCTTGTCATTCTGATAATCTTCATAGGATTGGCGACTGTCACTCTCCGATGATTGGCTGCTATCACTTACGTGGACTTTCTTCACTGATTGCCGCTTTTTATTAGGCTGACTGCTCTTTCTCCTCAAAGTGCCATATCTATAATGCTGCTTAGCTGCATGGCGTCTGTATGTTCCAGTACTAATCTCAGCAGGTTTTTGGCCTGTCTTTGGAACTTTTTTCTCCTTCACAGGGGACAAAAAATGCCCCTGAGCTTTAAGGTGATCATTCTTTGGAATATGAACAGCGAGTTGTATATTGTTATGAGATCCATGAGATAAAGAAAGGGCACTTTTGAACTCAGCAGCTTTTTCACCATGATATTCTGCCTCCGGGTTGGAAGATTCTATAATATTACTCTTCCTGAGTTCTGCAACAATTTCATTGCCTATATTGGAATTGGCATTTTCTCTGGCATCTCTGTCAACATCTTGAAATGTAACACCAAATCTATTTTGGCCTTTCTTGTGTACTTGTGGATCATTCAGTGAGACTTTATGATTTTTTCTGTTGATCTTTTCATGACTGCCAAGTCCTTTTTGAAGAGCTTTGGTGGAACCAACATCTTCTTTAGCCATATTAGACTTTCCATAAGTGAAATCAACTTTAAGGATACCTTTTTTGCCTTGTTCTTTTGCATTAAGATCTGATCTATCATCGTCAGAAATTATTTTAAGGAAAGTAACTTCACCCTTCAGAGGTGGTTTAGTAACTTCAAATCTACCCGCAAGACTATTAAGCTTTCCACTCAATGTAACTTTAGTTTTGTTTGTTTTACCTGGATCAATCTTCTCTTTTATTAGCCTTCCTTTGACATCAACTTTCCCATAATCCTTTTTGTGTATTCTGGAAGTGACAGCTACTTCCATATGTTTGTTGGACTGCCCCCTAATGACATCTTCTGTTGCTCCATCTTTCTTATGTTCCTTGATAGTATTAGCTTCTTCCACATGGCTGTTACTAATTATATGCACTTCAACTTTTTCATGTGGTTTGCTAATTTTAGATGTATTCATTGACCTATCCAATTTCCTAATTATCACAGTGTATTCACCACCATGTTTCTCGTACACTGTTGCATTGCTAATACTTTTTTCATTAGGTACCTTAATTCCACTAGACTTTGAAACATCAGTGTAATTGTTTCCAGTTCTTATGGGTTCAATTTTCTCCAGAAACTCTACAGAAAGATTGCTTTGTATATCAAGATTATTAGATAATTTGGAAGTTCCTCTATCCTTTTTGCCCTTCTGTAACAAATTAATGTAACCGTTTTCCTCTTTGTCTGGCTGCTTCTTGGGAGCATCAGTTGACCCTTTCAGAAAAACCTTTGAAAAATCTTTCTTTTGTGGGTCCTTAGTTTTCTCAGACATGATTTTTTTAATTTCCTGGGTGAGTCTGACATCATTCTCTTTTACCCCAATTTTGATATCACTATGTTTTAATGACGTGCTATTGTTAGCTATCCCCGAATGAATTTCTTTCTCTTTCACTATGACTTGGTGGTCTTTATCTTGGTCATGATCTTTATTGTCACTAGTGACAGCATGATGGATGGCAACTTGGTCAGGAACATTATCCCCACTTCCTTCTATCTCACTGGTAATATATCCTGTAGAAAATTCATCTCTTCTTTTATCTACAAAAATTTCTAAGGCATCTTGGTCAAAATCCCAGTTTCTAGTGTTTCCATAATGTCCACTCAAATTCTGGTGGTTTTCAGTAGTTCTTTCCAGGCTGTCATTTCCCATTTTACTTAAATGCTTTTGCTCATCATTTGTCACTTGGGCAATTTCAGTAAGATTGTCAACTGGATCTCTAGATTCCTTGTTTCTGACAGTAACATGAGTAGGCCTGGAAATATGCTCACCGTCTTCCTTCTAAATTGCATTTTCCAAAAGAAAATCATTAGTTTGGCAGGAGAATGCCATTATTTGGTTTATGTTAACAGTGAACAAAAACATTATTAATCATAAAGGTTAAGATGAGGTATAAGGCACAGAGTGAGAAAACAACCACCTCTCATTATTTCCACAGAAACAGTTCAGCCTGGATTTTTTTTTAACCAAACTAAATGAACATTGTAAATAGCAATATCATTGCCAGGGTATTGCATTTCTGTGTGTTCTTCCTTTTCTATTCCAGATAACTCTAGTGGGAATTGCTTTGATTCAAAACAACTCTAGAACCTTCCTGGCCAATGTGCAAAAGCAAAAAGCTCTTCAAACTTTTCAGGGCTACTGTATTGTGAATTAAAAGCTGCTCATTTCAGTTTCTTACACTTCTATTTTCTCCTCTAGCTTGCTAGTTGTCTATGTAGATAATTATGGTTTTACATCAGTTTCTTTTGTTGGGAAGAGAGAACTTTGATTCAGACGTGTGAATCTCTGGCCTGCAGGCTAAATATCGCTTCTGACAGTTCCCCATTTAGTCTGCAAATATCTTCCGAGCTGCCATCCTGTTCTCCTCATGTCCTAAAAAGACCTTTATTTTTGATCAAGCAACAGATCAAATATAGCTTTTTTTTTTTTTGGCCCAAGCCCCAAAGAGACTTAAAAATCCTGAATGCAACCTGGGGGTGGTGTAACAGTTGGAGGCATTGCTGGGAAGAAAAGGCATTACTTACCCTTACTAAATTAGATAAGCCTTTTAAAAAATCACCTTTTTGCTTCAGTCAGCTTTTAAAATACAAAAGATTCCCCGACTAGGCTTTAAACTTTGGAAACCACTGCAGTCAAGGCTGCAGGTGAATATACTTGGCAGGTGCTAGAAGTAGTACCTGCATAGAAATTCTTGAATGAAATTATATAGCCGTGGCATAACACATGGTGATAAAGATAGAGATAAAGGCTCATGCATAAAAATATTATTTTACCTTAATCTGTGTTTGGTTCTCTGGCTCTGAAGATGAATACATATAATTAAATATGTAAAACCCATGCTTGGAATGATGGCCTTTGACTGTTATCTGGGGACAAGAAAATCAAGCATTAGAAGTACTTTTTCAGCTGTTTAGTGCAGAAGAGACCAACCTAGTGGCCTCCTTTGGACTAGAAAACACCAAGTCACCTTCCCTTGCTTGGACTTTCAGCTTTGGGAAGGAGAAAAATAAAACAGAGATCAAAAACCCCAACAGATCCACTCAAGTTTTAGCACAATGATCATAGTTTGTATTATTTATTTATGAATTTAACTTTCCTCTGATTTTTCTGGAAATTATTAGAACCACTAGAGGGCATACTTAATCTTTCTTTAAAATTCCCCAGGCTTGGTTTTGTTGTTCTAGTAATATGTAACGGAGTCTTTTAAAATCTAATAATTTAACTAAGACTTTTTTTTTTTTTACTTTCAGAGAATCCTATATATTTATCTGATTGTTTTTTTTAAAGATAACTCTATTTCTACATTTCTATAATGTTGCTGACACTTAGAATTTGAACATATCTACTAGCCAGCTATGTAAAATAAATGTGTTAACCTAGAGATGTAAAATAGCTAGAAAAAGAAGCAAGCCCATGAACAAAGATAGACTCAATCCTTCCTCCTCTTCTAAAAATCAAGGCCAGTGTCCTTCAGAAGAAGAAATTCATTCTTATCCTTGGATTTGAGACTTGTACTCTACAGCAGTTGTTCCCAATCTATAATCCAGGGACCTCTCTCTGAAAATCCATTGTAGAGTTCCTAGTGGGGGCACCAGAATACATTTTTTAAATGCCCTAAGTCTCAGGAGTTTGTCAAGTCTGACAAGATTTTAGTGAACCCAACCAAAATCACCCCAATTTTAGGAAAAGTAAGTGCTGTTGCTGTTTCAAAATGCAATACCCTCATTGTTTTGCCAGAACAAATACATAAAAAACTCCAAGAAACTTGCAAATAAATATAAAATGCAGTGTTAGAGCCATTTGAAATGGTTGAAATAAATCTTGAACTCTTCAGCGTTCCAACTCCCACACTAGCAAAACTGTGGCCAGGCAGAAGACTTGCTGTCACTTCCTCCATCACTGAAAAACTACACTCATAGAGATAACTCGGAAGAGATAGACTCAGACTCAACCTTGAAATGGAATTGTTTGATTCAGTTACAAAATGCATTGAGTGAATCAGCCTTTAATGAACTCAGATTCAGAATGTGGGACAAAGTATTGGGATATATAATTTTTTCTCCCTTTTTTTTGTTTGTACAGACTTAACCTTTTCCTTATTTCTTAATTACCAAGAATTAGAGGAAGGCTATGTTTTTGTCACAGTGCTTGTTAAAGTTACCTGATGTTCTCCAATACATTTCTGCTTTACTTTTCTGTAATGGGACTGAAGCTCCTGGAAGAAAATGGAGGAGATTCAGAATGACAAATCATTCATCCCCAAAGTTAATAACTTCCTGTCTTGTACTAAAGCTAAGATGCATAAACTTTTGGGGCTGAGGGAATGTACTCCAAAAGTTGGGTGTGACCAGGGTGAAGAATTGGACATGGTCAAAATAAATATTCAAATTTGATTTAATCTCACTGTAAATTAAGGATACTTCCACTATATACTTTTTGCATTTTATAATCCTACACAAAACAGTTTGAAGCCACCTTGCAATCTTCTTCATTTCTACTGAGATTGAACTGCTGAAAACATGGAGAGAATCCCTCAACCAAATTAGTGCTACCTCCAGCTGATCAATAGGAGAGTGCAAAGAACATCCTTTAGTCAGGGCCCTGCTTCTAGCTATTGCCAGTCTTGGAACGAGAAAAATCCCATCATATTCATTTTCCCTCCCCCTGAAAAAATTGCTTACACACACACACACACACACACACCCCATCCACACGTTCAGTACATGCATTTGTCTGGTCATCTGCGAACAAACCAGCTTTGCACTGTTGGATTAGAGGATGCTTCCTGCTTGCAAAGATGTTATCCTTCTGCATTCAAAAGCCTCTTTCAAGCTCCGGTGCTGAAATTCATTGAATCTGGCTGCTGGAAGGCAGAGTGAGGAAGGCAGAGCAAGGAAATAGAAAAATGGCCCCCCCGCAAGTTCATCTCATAGTTAAGGTGTTGGTCTAGGAATGGGGAGATCCAGGTTGTAGTCTGTTCTCCTCTGTGGAAGTTCATTTGGGTCAGTCATTCTCTCTCATCCCAGCCTAGCTCACAGGGAAAAATAGGTCTTGCATTGTACTCAGATATAAATGTGTGCCAAATAAAAATGCTACAACGATACTGCTTTTGCTCCAGCACTGCCAGTTTTGCTCTGGTTTTAAACTATCACAAAGCTATAAATAAGTCATTTTAGATTTCCAAACTAGTCAAAATTTCTTAAGAGATCAGACAGGTCTGGAGCTGCTTCTGAATTCTGCAAAGCTCTTTTGTAAAGATACCCTACATTTAAATAATAAATTCTGTTCATGTGACCATTCTCTATGAATTTAATGATTTCTGTCCTCTAATTATAATTACAATCTGGCAGCAAATTCTGCGTGTACAAACACACACACATATACACACACATACACACACATACACATACAGAGAGAGAAAGAGAGAGAAAGCCAGTGTAATATAGTGGTTAAAGTGTTA